TGGGCCGATGAGTTGCCATATGTCTTATGGACTTATCGGACGACCCCGAGGGAGGCTACTTTGGAGACCCCTTTCGCCTTGGTTTATGGAGCAGAAGCCCGACTCCCGATCGAGGCTTGGATCCCGACCGATCGAGAGAGAACCTACAATGCCGAGGAGAATGAACATGCCATGGCGGTGGATCTCGATGGGGTCGAAGAAAAAAGAGAGCTAGCCGCTCGGCGTATAGCCGAGTATCAGAAGCGCGTCAAGAGTTCTAAAGATGTTCGGGTCAACCCCCGTTATTTTCAGGCCGGAGACTACGTTCTACGACGAAGGGAGGCCAGTCAACCTCTAGAGGGCGGAAAGCTAGCTCAGAACTGGGAGGGGCCGTATATCATCAGTGCGATCATACGGCCGGGTACATACCGACTGGAGACGACAACTGGTCGGGTAATCGAGGGGACTTGGAATTCCGAGCACCTCGTTATGTTTAGGCATTAAGCCTCTTTTTTGTAATCTTTGGACGAAGAGGGGGCTTGACCTGCGTGTGGGTCCCGGTCGTCGTTTGTAATTAAACCCCTATGTTTGTAAATATTTACTCAACCGCCTGCGAGCGGGAAAGATTAATGTATATACGATCGGTGATTGCTCGACCGTTTGCAGATCAATTTATCTTCAAGCTACACCGACCGGGCGAATCTATCGATCGGTCAGAAGCGCTCCACATCGGCGGACATTCGAGTCACGCCATTGATCGGGGAAGCCAGGAGCTCACAGCATAATTCCCCGATTCGTCCAACTTCTGTCCACTATCGCACCTACTCGTGCCTCGAAGGCACGATAGTGTGGGGGCTGGGATATATGAAGTGTTGATAGGCCCATATCGCTCGGTATATCCTGACCGTGGGGCTGGTTTTTCGAAAATTCGTCAAGACCTGGAGACCGGGTAAACTCGGTCGGGTAAATTCGGGTTTGGCCTGGAGACCGGGTAAACCCGATCAGGTTGGCCAGTTTGATGTCGAAATCTTGGACGCACGACCGGGCTATAAAGCCCCAAGGTCGGACGTCGAGCGGGTCGAGTAATGCAAGACCGGACCAAAAGGCTATGAGGTCAAGCATTAAGGTTCGGCTTGCGCGTGAGTAAAGTAAAAAGCAGGAAGAAAGACGAACAGTAGGAGTTTAACAAAAATAAGTGTCATTGATGTAATGGAGTGCCCGGTACAAATCGGGACCGGGCTCCCGATCAATGGCCCTTTACAAAAAAGAAGAAGAAGAAAAGAAGCCTATTCTACTTCTTCGTTTCCCGAGCTCCGGCAGCCGTTTCCTTTCCGCTCGGGGTGGCCGCTGAGGTTCCACCGGGCTCAGCCGTTCTTTCTTTCGGAGCAAAGGGAGAGGGGCCAGGGTCAGCTAGGTCGGGAGGGAGGGCAGATAGTACGAGCTGGAGGTCGTCGCCTTCGAGGGCTTCCCCCAACCGTTTTTGGGCTTTTTCTAGCATCTTCCTTTGGCCGGCCTTGAAGGCCCACCGACCGAAGGAGAGAATCAGGTCCTCCCCGACCTTGGTCCTCCGAGCAGCTGTGAGGAAGGCCGAGCCGATCTGGTCGTCCTTGAAGGCCGAATGGGCCAGCTCCTCCGGGCTCTCCAGGCGGGTCTTCAGCTCCTTGTTTTCGCCGATAGCCCGCTGGGCGACCTTCTCCGCAAGGGCCCGGTCCTCCTCGCTCTTCTTTAAGGCCTTCTGGACCTTCTCGAGCTCGGCTTGGAGCTCTTTAACCTCCAGAAGGCGACGGGCGGCCGTCTTCTTGTGGTGGTCGGCCTCCTCGGCCAGCATAGCCCGGCCCTGAAGGAGTTGGGCCGCTCGGGAGATCTGCAAAGGCGAAAACAGACGGGTTAGCCCGGTTGAAGGCACTTGCACAAAAGATGAAAGATGGATAGTTAAAGAAGGCTTACCTCGGCCAGGTCATAGCCGATCCTCTCGGCTACCTGGGTCGGGGTCATCTTCCCCAGATCTTCCTTGGCCCGCCCCGCATTGCCAATCCGGGCCAATATGGACGAAGCGTCCTTATCTCGCCCGACCGGAGGGCTCGGGCTGCGTTGTTCACGGCGGCGTTTTATGCCGCCCACCTCCTTCACGCCCTGCTCGGGCACCTTCTCTTTTCCCCGGGCGACTTCCACCCGGGTGACCAGGACATCGGAGGGCTCGACGATGAAGCCCTCGCCCGTCGTCACAGTCGAGGTACTCAGTGGTCGGGCCAAGGGGATCTCCTTCTCCCCGGCCGGCTTCGCCTTGCTCTTCTTCTTGCCGCCAAGGGAGATCTTGGCGGGCGGGGGAAGGGGGCCTCTTCATCACCGAAGTCTGCCATAGCTGCAAAACAAAGAGATCGTTAGTGTGATCGAGGCATAAAGATGAGTCGGGGGGGGTGTAGCTCGAGTTAGACCTTTCTTCGTTCGCCTCGAGGGTTTGGCGACCGTCACGCCCATCGGCACGGGCAGATATTTCTCCTGTAGCTCGTATGTGGGAGGCGGGAGTTTAGCCGCCTCGAGACTTTCAGCCGTCCGGAAGATGGTGTACTCGTGCAGCTCGCTCGAGATCCGGCTGACCGTTTCCCTCAGCGCTTGCGTCTCGACCGGCACCACTTGTTTCCGAAAGTGGGTGCTCCAAGCACGGTCAACCGGGAGGATCCAGGGGTCGTATTTGAGGGAGAAGATCCTATTCTTCCACCCCCTGTTGTTCCCGGGCAGGCCTTTGATTGCGCACATATCGGCTCGGGATTGCAACATTAGGAACCCGCCTCCATAGTTGCCCGGGAGAACTTTGACCTGGTAAATGAAGTTGAACAACTCCATCGTACAGGCGGCTTCGTGCCGAGCGCATATCTGCGGAAAGCAGGCGATGATCCGGTGCGCGTTGGGGCAAACCTGAGCCGGGACGACCCGGTAGTAGGCCAAGAAGGCGTTCAGGAGGGGGTGAAGGGAATGGCGATCGGGGCCATCAGGGAGTCATAGTGCATCCCGATCCATTTGCCCCGATGCCGATCGATGACATTCCCTAACTGCCGGCTCGTGTCAAACTCCACCCGACCCGCGAGCCTTTCGGCAATCCTAGCCGCCTCGCCCTTGGTTAGCTGACTCATCTGTTGTTCGACATTCTCGCTGTTCAAGAATTCGAACTCCGCTGCGGCTGGGGCGGCCGGCCCGGCCGTGTCTTCTTCGGCCGGCTCGGGAGCAGGACTCGGGTGGTCCCCAACCACCCGGGTGGGCGTTTCCCTAACGCCTTCGGTCGGAGATCCTTGTCTCCCCGACGTGGTTCCTTCTTCTTCTTCATCGGAGCTCCCCGATCCGCTTGAGCTAGAGCTCGACGACCCGGATGAGCTGGATGACGTGTCTTGTGCGGCGGCCTGCTCGGGGGCTGGCCCCGGTCGGCTGGTAGCTTCGGGGGAGTAGGACATGATGTCCACCTCCTCGTCGCTGAGGTGCTCGACCTCCTCGTCATAATCCGCGATCGATGCGTTTTGACTGTCAGAGTCCGTCATTTCGATCTACCTAAAGGTCGGTCGGGGTTAGTGAAGGACTTAAAGTGTCCGGGACAGTTAGTTGACCTAGCCGTTCTACCTAACATGGAAGTGTAAAGAAAGGAGAAGGGCTAGGAGCTTACCGAGTGAAGAAACTTGGAAGAGGATTTGAAGTTTTGCTTTGCTTGGTTGGATTGCTGATCTGCTGCTCGGGACTCTCTGAGGGTACCGATTGCTTCAGAAGATTGAGGAAAGTTCAAATGAGGGCCTCAAGGGCCTATTTATAGGAGGGCATTTAGGCGGGAAAGTCGTCCACTTGCGCGACACGACCAGCGCTGATTCCGAGGCAACGGTTGCAGTCGCAGAGGCCGGCAGTGGCCGACGCATGGCGGAGAAGGGAATGACAGCTGGCCGGTCGGTTTAGCGGCCGGCGGTTGGGTTTCTTCATCCCGGCCCATTTTTTCCCGGACGATCAAAAAGGCCCGCGCTGGGGGGCTCTTGGTAGGGAATATCCCGACCGACATAGCTTCACCACGACCGAGAAGCCTTTGTCCTTTTCTCTTTGTCTTTGCAGGTAACAGGTCGGGCTCCTTGAGAAGAACCCGGTCGGGGGCCGACCGGGAGTTGCCCGAGCGACGGTGTCGACTGCCGAGCGGTAGCCCTTTGGCGAGAGAGCTGACGAAAGACACGTGGCGATTCTCTGCGACGACAGACAGGGCACCCGGGAGGGCGACACGTGGTGGCTACGTGGAGGACATGCCGAACGGCTGGAATCCTGTCCCCGGCATAACGGCTATAAATACCCACAGTAGCTACAGTGTAATGGACTTTTGGACGATCGATAGGTTGTTGTTAGAGAATCCCGACCGCAGTCAGTCGGTACTCAGAGCAACCAAGTAGATTGTACTTAGGGCCTTTACCGTGATCAATAAAGATATTTACTTGCTTTAGTTGGTCTCGTGTTGTTATATATTGCTCACGTATAATTAGCAGTATCAGTTTCAATCCAGGTTATACCCCTGATTTTTGTCCCTTTTTTCTGTTAACTTTTTTTGTACCTTATGCTATAAAAGTTGTACTACATAATTGTTTTGACAAAAATATCCATGCCGTTATAACTTCTGTTATCTTTCCACACTATTATTACTATGTACATGCATACACAATAAATTTTTCTTACATCCTTCAATGGTAAGTTTTAATTCATTTAGGTTTTAATTAAAATGTTACCATAGTTATCTATAGTAATTTATCATTTTATAATTTTTACCTCAAAAATATTAATATGAATTATACAATTATATATATATATATATACACACACACTATTATTTTTAAAAAAATAATATAACTAAGATTTTAATATTTAATTTTAATATTGGGTATATATTTTTTGCGCATCGCGCATATAAAATACTAGTATTCATATATATCCCAAACATTGGTAGACGACAGTAAACTCCAGATTGAAGAGACGTTGGGGCGATGAGTTCTTCATCTTCCAATTCAAAGATGACGACGTTGAGTGCATCGGCTTTACTGCCTTTTCTTCCCCAAGAGATTCTCGTCGAAATTCTGAGTAAACTCCCTGCTAAATCTCTGGTGCGATTCAAGTGTGTTTCTAAATTCTTTTCTTCTCTGCTTGTTGATCATCCCTTTACCGATCTGCATCGCAATTGGTCCTTAACCCTTCCCAGTAGGATGAGCATTCTGATCTTGTACCCAGTACTCTGGCGTGAACCCAATTTCCCCAATTTCAATTGGCATTACACAATAAATTACTCTGAAGAAAATCAAGGAAATCTCCATCTCCAAGCCAATCGCCTCCAGTATTTCGACGACAACCCTAATCTCTTTCGAAAGCTTTATTTAAGCTCCTCCTTGAACGGCCTGATTTGTTTCTGCAGATTCTCAGATCGCAGCGACGAAATTGCTATTCACAACCTTAGTACACGACAGCATATTCCTCTCCCATCAAACTGTCATTACGATGGGAGCTGCAAGATGAACGCTTTCGGGCTATTGGGTTTTGATTCAGGTTCGAGAAGATACAAGGTGTTGAAGTCAGTAGAGTTTACCACTGGCGACTCTGTTTCGGTAAAGCATTGGGTTTTTACGTTGGGCGTGGATAAATCATGGAGGGAGATCCATTCCTCTCCCTACTATCATCCTTACAATTGTTTTAATAACCATTTTTATTCTACTAGTGTTCATATTGACGGTGTTATCTATTCGCTTAATTCATTGAATAAAGACGGCGATATAGTAGCATTTGACTTTAGAACTGAGAATTTCCGAGCAATACCTCCTCCTCCCTCAACCACTATGTGGGTTGGACCAACTAAAGCCACCTCCGGATTGGTAAAGGTGGATGGTCGATTAGCTTTCGTTAACAATCTTAAAAGAGATGAGCTGAACCCGCTACGGTATGGCATGACAATATGGATTCTAGAGGAGGAATCTATTGCATGGAAGAAACAATATGTGATTCACTTCCCCATCTCATTGGAAGGGAGCTTTAATAAGACAAATTTGTTCTTTGCTAGTAATCATGTGGGGGAAATTGCTGTGTTAGTGATGCTGAAGAGATCCGTTCCTATTTTATTATTTTATAACTTTAGAAAACGGAGCTGGAGAAAATTTGATATATACCAGTTGCCTGTACCCCATCTTATTACCGCCATGCACTTCATCTCGGATAATATCTTTTAATTTTCTTCAGTAATATGTTGTTATTGTTTATTTCATGAATACATTCTTCGTATTATTGAAATTACTTCATTCAAATGGATAAGAAAGTTGTGTGTATAGAGTCTGGGTTCTATATGTTAGTTGTGGATTTAGTGAAGAAGAATATCCTCTGCTAAGTATATTTTTAGAGGCTTGTGCCCGGCACTATAATTAAACCGGAGGAAACCAGCATTACTTCCTTCTACTTTAAATTGTTTTGTTTATGCATTGCTTCCTTCTACTTTAAATTGTTTTGTTTATACCAGGAAATCGCGTCAGAATAAATAAATAAATAAATATGAAAGGGTTCAGGTGCGGTGCGGGTATAGTTTTTTGTGCAGTTGTGCGAGTGAGGTTTGTCTGTACTTAGTGTGTGTGAGTAGCGTGAGTTTGGTGTGTAATGTGGGTGAGTAGGTAGGTGCGTGAGGTTTGTGCTTAATGTGCGTGAGGTTTGTGCTTAATGTGCGTGAGTGTATAGTGCTTAATGTACGTGAGTTTTGTACTTAAAGTGCATGAATTGTGTGCTTAATGTGCGTGAGTTTTGTACTTAAGGTGCATGAGTTTGGTGCCTAAAGTGCGTGAATTGTGTGCTTAATGTGCATGAGTGTGTTTTTCATCTATAGGGATATTAATAGGTGCATGAGTGTGTTCTTCATCTATAGGGATGTTAATAGGCAGCTTAAGTTTTTAACAACTCATTAAGTACACATTCACGCACATTAAGCACAAAACTCACGCACCTTAAAGTTTCAACAACAACTCACATAAGTACACACTCATGCACATTAAACACAAAACTCATGCACCTAAGACACAACACTCACACACCTTACGTACAAGACTCACACAACACTCACACACCTTACGTACAAGACTCACGCACATTGAGTACAAAACTCACGCTGGAACCTTTCACTATATATATATATATATATATATATATATATATATATATATATATATATATATATATATATATATATATATATATATATATGATTAAGTATTTTTATTTTTTTAGGCCACTGAACGAAACAAACAAAAAAAAGTGCAATTAAGTCATTAAACGAAAAAAAAAAACAGTGCAATTAAGCCATTGAACGCTCCAAAAAGTGCAATTAGGCCAATGAACATTTCAAATGTATGCAATTTCACCGGATAGCAGGTTACTATCAATTTTACAGGATAGCAGGTTACTATCAATTTTAGTAGGTTACCTGCTTACGTGATAGCTGAGTTGGCATTTTAAATATTTTTTAATAATTTTAATAATAAATGTTAATAATACATTTAAAAAAATTGAAAAAAATTAAATAAAAATAAAATAATATAAAAAGACGGTGGTCACCCCGTCGTTTTTTTATTTTAAATTAAAAAATTATTATTAAAAATTATTTAAAATTTATTAAAAATGCAATTCAGTTGCCACATAAGTAGGTAACCTGCTATCAGGTGAAATTGCATACATTTGGAGTGTTCAGTGACCTAATTTTGCATACATTTGGAGTGTTCAGTGACCTAATTGTACTTTTTTTTTTTCGTTCAGTAGTCTAATTGCATTTTCAGGTTACGTTCAATGGTCAATTTGAACCTTATTCAACAAATAAATAAATTTACAAAGAAAATTGACATGGTATATTTTACATGGGCCTCCCACATCCTGACTCCACATTTGGTAAGATATAAATCACGATAATTAAATGGCTTACTAAATTCTAGTGCGGTACAATAGATTTGTCTACTGTAAACATAATCTCCACACTATTGTGGGTCACTTTGGACATAATCTCCACACTATTGTGGTCAAGTTTTGAACCTTAATTTCTTTTTCAAAATACTGCCTAATGAAACAGTAAGCTAAAACTGTACAGGCTATCCCATTCATTTCTTACTTGGCAAATATATATTTTGTACAGCTTCGGAGCAGTATCTCTAGAGGTGGCTAGTGGGAGGAAGCCAACAACTAAATTAAACAAAATACTATAATACAATAACTTAGCATGTATTTTAATCATTATTTAATTGCTTAAATAAATTATAAACAGTTCTTTAACGTGGCCTTAAAATTGTTAGGGTTAGGATTAAGATTAGAATTAGAATTTAAGAGGTATGATAACACTATAATATATTCATATATATCCCTAGCAGCAGGAAACTCCAGATTGAAGAGACGTTGGGGCGATGAGTTCTTCATCTTCCAATTCGAAGATGACGACGTTGAGTGCATCGGCTTTACTGTCTTTTCTTCCACAAGAGATCCTCGTCGAAATTGTGAGTAAACTCCCTGCCAAATCTCTGGTGCGATTCAAATGTGTTTCTAAGTTCTTTTATTCTCTGGTTATTGATCATTCCTTTGCCGATCTGCATCGCAATTGGTCCTTAACCCATCCCAGTAGGATGAGGATTCTGATCTTGTACCCCGTACTCTGGCGTGACCGCAATTTCACCAATTTCAATTGGTATTACACGATAAATTACTCTGAAGAAAATCAAGGAAATCTCCAAGCCAATCGCCTCCAGTATTTCGACCACAACCCTAATCTCTTTCGAAAGGTGTATTTAAGCTCCTCCTTGAACGGCCTGATTTGTTTCTGCAGATTCTCAGATCGCAGAGACGACATTGCTATTCATAACCTTAGTACACGACAGCGTATTCCTCTCCCATCAAATTGTCATTACGATGGGAGCTTCAAGATGAACGCTTTTGGGCTATTGGGTTTTGATTCAGGTTCGAGAAGATACAAGGTGTTGAAGTCAGTAGAGTTTACCACTCGCCGCCCCGGCGGCTCGGAGGTTTCGGTAAAGCATTGGGTTTTTACGGTGGGCGTGGATAAATCATGGAGGAAGATCCATTCCTCTCCCTACTACCATCCTTACAATGGTTTTAATACCCATTTTTATTCTACTAGTATTCATATTGACGGTGTTATCTATTCGCTTAATTCATTGAATAAAGACGGGGACATAATAGCATTTGACGTTAGAACTGAGAATTTCCGAGCAATACCTCCTCCTCCCTCGACTACTATGTGGGTTGGACCAACTAAAGCCATTTCTGGATTAGTAGAGGTGGAGGGTCGATTAGCTTTTGTTAACAATCTTATAAGGGGACGAGCTGAACCGCTACGGTTTGGCAATATGGATTTTGGAGGAGGAATCTATGGCGTGGAAGAAACAATATGTGATTTACTTCCCCATCCCATTGGAAGGGAGCTTTAATAAGACAAATTTGTTCTTCGCTACTAATCATGTTGGGGAAATTGCTGTGTTTGTGATGAAGAGATCGGTTTCTATTTTATTATTTTATAACTTTAGAAAACAGAGTTGGAGAAAATTTGATATATACCAGTTGCCTGAACCCCATCTTATGAACCCCATCTTATTACCGCCATGCACTTTATCTCAGATAGTGTCTTTTAATTTTCTTCACTAATATATTGTTATTGTTTATTGGAATAAGAGTCAAATGGGCCATCGAACTGCACACAATAATGCAATTAGGCCACTGAACTTAAAAAAACAACAATTGGGTCCCTAAACCTACTAATTTTATACAATTAAGTCAATTTACAGGTTTTGTAGGTTAGTAACAGGTCACTCAAAATTTAAAATATTTTTTTTTAAACTTTTTTTTTAAACTCCACTGTCCATCACAACTTCTATGTTTGCAATCCGAATTGCAACTTCATCCCAGGATGTACTGGATTGGGATTGAGGAGAGATGCTCTCCAATCTCCTATTCTGAGCAACTGTCTTCGCTTTAGACAGAGTAATTGGCGATTGCAGTTCGCGATCAACAATTTCTAGATCAATTGGGCGAACCATTGTCGATCGCATTTTGCGATCGATCACCACCTCCGACCTTTCACAATTTTTAAAATCAATCAAACGGACAGTCGATTGACTTGCGATTGGAGATCGCACCTTCACTGGAGATCGCACAATTCCTCGGATTGGAGACTGCTTTTGACGATCTTCAATCGCCATAGCAATTAAATCTTCTTGCGTATTGCAATCCGATCCAATTGGGCGGACTTCTGCGACCTTGTAAGGAGACAGAAATTCTAGACGAATTTCCTTGATTTTCAACAATTGGAGACTCCGTCTCCTTCAATTCCAGATGAGAGTCATCTAGATTAGCAACTTTTCTCCCCTGCTTTTAGTGGACCGGATTTCCCAGCAATCGGGCTAGTAAAATTTAAAAAAAAAAAAGATTCCCCGTCTCTACCGGAGACGAAGAGACTCTCCGTCTCCGGCCATGGAAACGGAAACAGTTTTTTTTTTAATTATTATTTTTAAATAATAATTTTTTAAAAAAATGTTTTAAATTTTGGGTGACCTGTTACTAACTTGCAAAACCTGTAAATTAGACCAATTGAATGAAATTGGTTAGTTTAGGGACCTAATTGTTGTTTTTTTAAGTTCAGTGGCCTAATTGCATTATTGTGTGCAGTTCGATGGCCTATTTGACCCTTATTCCTTGTTTATTTCATGAATACATTCTTCGTCAATAGATAATGTCTTTTAATTTTCTTCACTAATATGTTGTTATTGTTTATTTCATGAATACATTCTTCATCTTATTGAAATTACTTCATTGAAATGGATAAGAAAGTTGTGTGTATAGAGTCTGGATGAGTTTTTTGCACTTTTGGTCCCACCATTATAGTGGCACTAGCAGAATTGATCCACGACTTTTGAACCTTGCAATTTTAGTCCACGACTATTGATTTTTTTGCAAAAATAGTCCTTTCAGCCATTTTTTCGTCAAAATTCCACCGGAAATTTTTTTTATCCATTTTTAACAGGGCTAAAATTGACATTTTACTTATCTCAAAAAATAAAAGAAAAAAATTGACATTTGACTACATACAATATTATTGGGCTACATACTACTGCCCCAGGCGACGGAGTTCCTAGAGGAGGTAAGGCTGTCAGTAAGCGGCGGAGCGGCCATGGCGTTCCCCGGGCTAGTTGGGTTA